CCTTCCCACGGGTCCCATCCCTGAGGCCGTCGGTGGGCAGGTGAGGAGCCTGAGGGTGATGCGAGCTCATGCGAGGGGGCGCCTGGAAAAGGGGGTTCCCCTGCCTCACAATCTATTCTCTGTGGTTTTCACTCTGTCCTGTGGTGGGATGGGGGACCCCTGGAATCTGAGCGGGTCCGGTCCCTCCTCGGTGTCTGATGGTGGAAACATGTCCCCCCCCCCCTCCCGCGGGGAACTTTTGGGGAACAAAGCCCTCTCTGGAAGCCCTGCCAGGAGGAAAGAGGCTTTGTTTGGGGGAAAGGGCGGAGGGGTGAGTCATCAACCCATGGGAATCCCAGCTCAGGGCCTTGGGGATGGGATGGTGGAGGTGCAGGAGCTCCTTCTGCAGCCCCCAGAGCCCCCATCCGGGAGCATTCCTGCCCCGCCCGCACTGTCTCTCTGACAGACTCAGAGTGGCCCCCCTCAGCGCTCTGGGGCTCCCCTCCTGGCCCCGTGGGGTTCCCCTACCCTCAGTGGCCCTGCCCTCCCAGGCTCCTGGAGGCGGGGTGCCCTGGCCAGGAAGGGGTGACTAAGGAGGCCTCCTCCACCTCCCTCCTCCACTGGCCTTTCCCCTTGCTGCCTGGCTGGGCTCCCTGCACAGTGCTCTCAGGACAGCCCCCCTTTCCCAGGCCAATGATGCCCCTGGCCCGCCACCCTGTGCACACGCATCCTCCTCCCCCGCCCCCCAGAGAGATCCAGGTGCCGGCCTCGGTGGACTTGCTCATCACCTGTATCTAGTGCTCCGGGCAGGCGGAGCAGAGCTGACCTCAGGGGGCGCTGCAGGAGGTGGAGGCTCCGCCACTGTCCCCCAGGCCTGAGCCCCACTCCAGGAGTCCAGGGAGGCACTCCCAGCCTTGCCCCATGTCAGCCCAGAGTCATGAAACTTCCATCCTCAGCCACGCGTGGCCGCTGGGCCAGAAGGGACAGCAATGGCAGAGGCATTTCAGGCATCTGCTGGGGAGTGTGGGGCAGGGGCTCCCGTCCATGGTGTCGGCACCACCCCAGTCTGAGCGTGAGACAGAGTTTTAAAAAATAAACATGAATTGCAGCGGTGCTCCCCTCAGAAAGGCAGGCCAAGACGGCTGGGAGCAGGAGGCCTGGGGCCCCATGTGCCAGGGAAGGTTCTGTGGCCCCATTTAGTGGATGCGGAGACGGAGGCAGGCCCAGAGCTGGGAAGGCCCACACCTGTGGCTGCCGAGCAAAACAGGCTCCCGCCCTGGAATTCGGGGTTCGCTGTCTCAGGTGCCGGGAGCCCTGCTCTGCGGGGGGCCTGGGAGACAAGGAACCGCCAAGGTTTGTTGTGTAGCATCAGGGATTGGGTTAGACATGAGGGACTTCAGGCTGAGGGGCTCCTGCCAGGCAAGTGAAACCCTCGGGTGTGTGGGGGCTGACCCCATAGGCCTGGGCTCGGAGGGGGTGCTGAAAGGAGATCCCTCCATTGGGCACCTGGCTCCAGCTTCCAGCGAGGCTGCTGGGAACCTCATTTGCATTGGCAACCTCAGCTTAGCGGGAACCTGGGCATGAGGTGAGGGAGTTGACCGGAGTCACGGAAACAGGCAGAGGCCTCCCCGCTCCCCCCTGCACAGAAGGCCCCACTGTCTCTCGGCCTGGCCCTGACCATGGCAGCGGGAGGGAGCAGGTGGCTGCAGGGGGGCCAGGACTTCCCGGCCAGGCCTCAGTTTATCCCTCTGGAGCCAGGCCCCTTGGAGCCCGAGGAAGCTGTCTCCCAAGCACAGGGCGAGGGTCCTGAAAGGCTGCAGGGCCGGCACTCAGGGGCAGGGGCTGTGCGTCTCCAGACCCTCCGGGCCCACCTCCCTGCACTGCCGACCGGCACTGAGCAGAGCCCAGGCAGGGCTGTCCTGCTCCCTCCCCGGGGCTGCAGCACAGCCAGGGCTGAGTCCTGGTGGGGCCCCAGGGGTGGG